GACCATGTGATAAGTTGGACTATCGAAGATTGGGACCATTTATCATCGAGAAGCAAATTAATCCAGTGGCATACTGGCTGGAGTTATCGGCTTCTATGAAGGTACATCAAGTCTTTCATGTTTCTCTGTTGGAACCTTATCGAGAGTCATCTTTTCCTGGAAGAGTGCAATGTCCGCCACCTAGTATTGAGATCGAGAACCACGAAGAATACGAGGTTGAAAAGGTATTGGATTCACGGCGAAGGTGGGAAAAGTTAGAATATCTTGTTCATTGGTGCGGCTATGACATTAATGAGCGAACGTGGGAGCCAGCTGAAAATCTTTCGAATGCGCCACAAAAGGTACAGGAGTTTCATCAACGACATCCCGATAAACCTAAATGAATTCGATGATAGCTTCTTTCTGAAGCTTGTTCTCTCAACAATATAAGAAAAGGGGAGAGCACCAGCAAAATTCATAATTGATGTAGTTATTTTTTCCAAGATAGATCGTAGTTTGGTCTTTTGATATAGATAGCCAAGAGATAGATACTATGCCAGTCAGAGTATCGCAACCGAGTAGCTCACGAAGGCGACCCCGAGATGAAGAACTACATGTACCACAACGACGACGGAGGATACCGAGTAACCGATCACTGGTGATCGTATTTGAGATCGAGCCTGCTTACGATGGTCAACCAGAAGGTGTATTTGCAGGACAATTTCACAATGAGGACACGGAAGTTCATGCTTGGTCAGAAGTCGAAGGCGTGGGCCACTACCGTTGGCTTCAAGGGTCGATGAACTACTTGCCTCGTGAACAACAGTTGGAGTTCATAGCAGAAGTTATGCGACAGATCTTCATTTTCTTGCGTTGGTACTGATCAACAACATTGCTTCTCAAAGACCTCGAAGCTAAAGGAGGGGGTGATGTTAGGGACATATTCCTTAGAACTTTCTAGAGAGAAGTTTTTAGAACCTTCTAGAAAACAAGCCTCTGGAACCTTCTAGAAGAGAAGCCTCTGGAACCTTTTAGAGAGAAGTTTCTAGAAGCTTCTAGAAAAGAATCCCCTAGAACTTTCTAGAAGCTTCCTAGTTAATAGAAGTAGCTCGAGAAGTTTCTAGAACCTTCTAGAAAGGAAGCCTCTGGAACCTTCTAGAAGCTTCCTAGTTAATAGAAGTAGCTTGAGAAGCTTCCTAAGTAGGAGTATATATAGGGATCGAGGCTGAAGAGTTCTTCAGTCTCGACAACACATCTCTTGGAGTTCTAGCTCACCTTTCTGGTGTTGTTCTTATACTCATCTGTTTAATCTAGTTCTGCCACTTCTTCTTGAACTTCTTGTTAGATTTCAAGTCTGTATTTCGTGTCCGTGATACAAAATCAAGATGAAAAATAGCAAATTTTTGCTATAAAAGAAATGAAATTTAGAAGAGATTGTATTTTATATTCTATCTTTGTTTGTAGTTTCAATGTGTTTGTGGCATTATGGACATAAAGAACCAATAGCCAACAGATTTAACTCAAAAATTATTGTTTCTTGAATTATTAGGCAAGACATTGTAATTGTCACAATCTTTAAAACAATGTAATAGAAATGAAGATCCTTAAGAATGTTTTTTTTTTTTTTTTTTTTTTTTTTTTTTTTGAATAATTGATAAAATATAATGTGTTTGATATTACAAAATCAAAAGAGTCATTTAATTTTTGGTGATTTTATTGGAGGTAGGAACTATTATTGATGAATTTTTAAATATTTTATTTGAAAGGAATTATAAAGGCTTCAACAATGATCAAATACAAGGGTAGTCTTTTTGTCCTAATATGGAACACTATCAATGATTAGAAGGATCTATCAATTGTCTTCATAGAAAATAACAATCAAAGTGTGATAAATATAATTTGTTACATCTTTGACTTCCTAAACATATGATTACTACTCTTCATAGAACTTATTCCTAGATGGAGGAGTAATGCCATGAACATATAAATTTACCAAAATAAAAAATATTAGATAGATAATAAATGTAGGTAGATTTAATAATATCTTTTGGCATAGCTTTTTAGAAGCTTCATAGACACAAATTTGATTTTAGACATATTTGTAGTTAATTAGTAGGTTAGAGACTTGGCCAAAAAGTTAGCCATATGTTGCACATTTTGATAACTTTGTGATACAAACTAATCATGTGGTATATATACAAGAAACTTCTCTTGTAAATTAGGCATGTATCTCGGAATTTAGACACGTGTTGGAGGATTTATAGAACGTCCCACAAGCTCCTAGCTAAATAGTATATATGGAAGCAAGAGTGAAGCCTTCTTCATTCTTATTAATGCCTTTTTTGCTCTTAGTCTTATTTCAAAGGATTTCAATTTTCTTATCTTTAGCAATAGTCATTCTAGTTCAATATTATACCATCTTTGAGTGATTATCTACTCTCTTTTTGAATGTCATAGAATGTATTGAAGATTTTATTGTTTGAAATTCATGTCCTCAGCAAAACTAAGATTTGAGATAGACTAAATTGATCATAAGATTGCAAGAAAAGTATAGTGTTAAAAAATGAGGATGTAGCTTTAATAACTCATTATATATATTATATGGTTAAATATTTATCATTCTTATTTATTTTAAAATTATGAATTTTTTATTTTTTATTTATTTATGAGATTTTAATTCTTCAAATTCAAAAAATATATAAATAGTTGAAATGTAATAAATTTTTTTTTCTAATATTTTTTTGAAAAATAAAGTAAATAAAAGCTATTTTTTAATATCAAAATTAAATTATTTAAAATTAAAAGTACTTAAAAAGATATTTTATGTATAATATTGCCTTAAAACTTGATAATAAAAATTTCAAGAAGATATGCTGTATATCTTTTCTTTTTTTTAAGGTTTCAGTAATAATTGCATAACCAAGAATAATTTAAAATTTAATTTAATTCATATGAATTAAAAAAATTAATAATAATTATAAATATTTAATAATAAATCTTTATTTAGTAAGTATATATGTATGTATATATATATATATATATATATTCTTATATATACACTTGAATACAAAAATTAATAAAAAAAAATAAAAAATACAATAGGAATATGGAATGTTTCCATTTAAGCTCTACAATTATTTACAAATTAATATCAAATGGTATAAATTCATCAAAATTATACATAATTAAGCCTCTAAAATTTTAATTTTTTTATTAATCTTAAATTTTATACAAAAATGACCTTAAAAACCAATCACATATTTTAAATATTTAAATTTAATAAATTACAATAAAGATATATATATCTAAAAGAAGATCACTAATATGAAGTGTATTTGATTTGTATGCTATTGCAACAATAATTTTGGCATATCTCACACAAATTAACAATTTTGTCTTTAATGAAATACCTTACATTGTTTTTATTTCAAGTCCAAGTTAAATACCACCATGTAATCATATGATGGTGTATACTTTAAGAATAATTTATTTGATTATTAAAATGACATGAGAGATTTCAGAACCCCCACATTTTAATAATAACAAAAATAGTATATACATATATGCAAAGAATTGTATCAAAATTATTATGTATAGGTAATAATATTTTTAATGGTATGTTTAACCTAATTTAGTATAAAAGACATATAATTATACTATATGTATATCTATTAATCAATAAATTTATTTTAAAAATTGAATAAAATAAATTATTGTGAATAATACAGAAGTTGCAATTAAATAGTTTATAGTTCATTGAGTTATATTTAAATTTATAAAAGGTTTAGAATAGTTTTCAAAACACAAATCTCTAATTAAAACTAGACATTGTTAAAATTGAATTTAAAAATAAAAAGAAAAATAGTTGAATTCATAAAATTCTAAGTGATAAGTTTGAACCATAATTACATCTCCAAAATAATAATATTTCAATAAATATACATAGTTTATAAAAAATGATTTTTTAGATTATATTTTACCATAATTTTTATTATGATAATCATAATAAACATTAATATGTTTATTATGAAAATATTCTTTTCAACCCAAATAATGCCCTTTTTCATAATAAACATACTATTTTAATAACTTGGTATGATAAAGCTATGCAAAAATATAACTAATTATTAAAATGATAATACTTACAATGTGTATTGAAACTTATGGACATAAAAGCAAAAGGAAATAATTTCTTTCATATCCAGTATTGTTGATAGACTGTTCAATGATGGATGTCTATATTATAAGAACAATTATAAGCCTCATAATTATTGAATATAGAACATACAAAAACAAAAATTGGCCCTTTGAAAGATTTTCAATGTTTCTGAAAGTGACTTCTATGTCTGTAAACGCCATAAAGAGCATCATTTGGGTTGAAAAAGGACATTATTTGGGATGAAAAAGGGCATTATTTGATTTGAAAAGAATATTATTTGAGTTGAAAAGTGATTGTACAAATACTGATTTTCAAGATGTTGATTTTATATAGATGTGGTTTATGTATATATCATCTCAAGGTCTACATGGTACTGTTCATTGGTATGTTGTAAGCAGCTACTTTATGCCAATTATGTTAAATATGTATATATATATATATATATATATATTATCTGCAAAATGATATGAAATAAAAAAAATTTAAAAAAATTGTTAAATGCATGTATGAAATGTGCATGAAAGTTTATTTACTTGTATAGCATATATTCTTTGAAAATGATATCATGGAATTTATAGTAGATTTGTGAAGTTATGCCATACCTTGTTTAATGGATGCTAGAATTAAACAATCGGAACACAACCGTTTGGACAAGTAACAAGCAATGAAATCAACACAATATTATTCTCGATTTGAGGTGCCTTGTCAAATATACAGATCATTGAGGCAACATCTTCAAAACAAAGATTACATTCAAGGACCATTGTTGCTATGTGTGCTTTAACATCATTTCATTATCCATCAACGTTTTGCGCAGGCCATTGTTTTCTTGTCCACAACTTCCAAACCATCATACTGTGAGTTTGTTCCAAAATGAGTTCCATGATCATGTATTTCATATTCTATCAACTAAGACATAGTAAATCGATCCTCGATAGTTTTCTCAGTCTCTATCACGTCTCGGAACTGTGGAGGGAAACACCCTTGGGTTCGGAATGAAGTGATAGTTCAAGCGAACGGATGGAAGCCAAACATGAGATCAGGCGCAAAGCTTCATCATATCTGTAAAGAAGATTGAAACTAAAATCTAACACGGCTCTTGGAACTTGTCATTTCACCACGAAGGCCAAAGTGTTACTCTCCAATAAGGGGGAATCGCTAGAACAATCTTGCTCTCTAAGTAAAGTACTTCAGAAAAGCACAGATGGTGCGTGATTGATAATGTGTGAGGATTAATACCCTCTCTCCTAGGCAAACGGGTTGCCCGTCTTCATGATACATCTGGGTTTGTGAAGGATCCTCTCCGGTCTACAGACACATTCCGAAAAGAATCTCTGCAGGAAAGACTGCCAACCTAGTTCTGGGTTTGGCAATCCGCTCAATCTCATCTCAAACACTGTCATATTACCAGATTACAAGTCTTCGTCATATTTTACGACGAAGAGGCTTCATAACGCAGTAGAAAGACAACTTAAAACCTCATTCTGGGAATATGACAAGCAATTGCTTGTGAAACAGTTCATGTCGTCATCATCTCCTTGGATCCTCGCATAAAAATAGTTCTCGACGATGAGACTTGATAATTACCGACTCCCAGCGGTTACTTTCCTCTTTACTTTCCTCTTTGCGAAGACATTAGGAGCTTGACGTTGCGTGCCATTCTTGTTCTCAATCTTTTTACCATCCAAGAGGCCTGTGATAAGACCCTTCGCAGCGATTACCGACCCCGTCAAAGACTCAGATGACAATGAAGGCCTACGATATGCTTGTGAAAGAGTTCCGTCAGCGTGGACAGGCAACTCCCCTTGACCTAAAAATGCTAGTCTTGTCACATCTCCAATGTGAATATTCAGAGCCCTGCATCCACGAGCACTCATTAAATCCAAAAATTCAATATAAGAATCCAACTACTCTGTAACAAGAAAGGAAAACAAATGCATCTTGTGGGCACGATGACAATACAGAAAAGTGGCTAATGAGATATTTCGGGGAGAAATGTGACGAGTAACTAACGTGCCAACTAGATTTTTTTCGACTAACTAAACGTATGGTATAGTTTACTACCTTGCAAATTAAAAAATATACATAATTAACAAAAATAATATGTGCATGGGCCCCAAATGCCTCCCCACTACTACCGCTGTTCTACTAGTAGTTACACAAGTAACCGACATTCATTTCCATATTTATGAAATTGTTGTTCATAGATACCCAAATCATACACGCTTTGGTATGAGTGTGGAAACTACCTAAAACAATTCAACATAAACATCTGCTTATTCATCCACTAATCCTCCGATCTAACAAGTTGTTAATAAAATGAATAATCAAAGAGTGGTTCAAAACAAGATCACTACAAAGTGAGCTAACACTGCACAGGGCATACCTGAGTGCTGCAGAGAAGAAGATAACAACTCCCAAATGCTGAAAATGATCTTGCATAAGCCTTTCCGCTCCGTTAACTAGCTGATACCTCATGTTCCCTGATAATCCCAAAAATGCTCCATAACTTGACGCACTTGTGCTGACCGAAGGGATCGGCACTGATAAACTGCTGTCCAAAATACATCAAGGAATAGTAAGCTTTACGTTATCAGCGAAGAAGACAACACTAAGGCGACTTAATGGTGCGAATCAACACACTGGTAGGATGGTAGAAAGATGACATACGGTTCGAATGCATATATAATTACAACGTAAGAACGAGAAATATGAGAACTATGGATAACATTCGATTTCAAAATATCAAAGAGAGAATGGTAGCATACTCTTCTTTTCTTGCCGATGGCATGAGACTGGCTAGGCCCGCTCCAGCAGATCCGGTCACCATACCAACCAGGCTGAGCTGTGCGGCTTTGTAAAAGAAACTGAACACTCGCTTGGGCATATCAAATTCTCGGAGAGGGTAGCTCTTGTCGAAGACGTGGTTCGGAAGCTTTTGAATTGAGTTTTGGAATTCATACTTAAATGTTGAACCGTATGAACGGCTGGGAGCTAGCGCCCAGTTCATGGCTGCTGTGCTCGCAACCAAAGTCAATACATTCACAGCAACTACGTCCCATTCTTGTTTTATCCTGTTAGCACAACTCACGAGAATCAGCACACCAAGACTAAACTCTTCAGAAGAAAACACCTCTCTTTCTCAAACATTCCAAAACAAGCGCACTGTACTTTCTTAACGATGATATTAATAATCCTAACAAGCACACAATAAATCCTAGAAAGAGTTTCAAGACAATTCATATTCACTGAACACCCACGTTTGAACCAATCCCGAGGTAATCACGATGCTTACCTTTCCCCTCTATGCTGACACTCCCACCATACAGCATTACCAATCGTAACTACCTCGTCAAAAGCTAGCTTGTATAGAAATCCAGGATCCGCAAGTATGCTGTTTTACATGCAAGCAAACTCATCCATCAGACAAGATGGCCATAACAGTATCAGAATCTTGACGATCCAAGAAAAGATTGCACTGTAAACAGTAACACCACGCGAAGCCGCGTAAGGGTTGTCTACACACTCAGAAGTTTCATGTTTTGAAGCTGTATGAGTACGCACGGAAACCAGAATTCATAAGATGATCTGACCTCGACAACTACTTTTAAAATGTAAATTACTTACCGTCCGATAAAAGCCCGTGAAACTGATTGAGGCGCCATCCGTGACAATCTCCTAGTAATATTCGGCCTTGCATTGACTGACCAAAATCTTACCATTTGCGCCGAGCTGATCAATCCCTGTATCAATACGCCAGGATTTTGAAAAATTATGCTACAAATTATACGATGCAGATAGGGTACCCCTGAAACACTGTTGCCCATCAACTATCACTTCAACAGGAATATGCCGGCCTTGTTCCTTACTGCTACAATGAAGACACTAACCGACACCAAAAACTAAGCGAATAATTTAGGGGGTCATGTTTGGGACAGCAGGAATGAACTGCAGTTACGGTGAACGCACCAATTCAACAGCCTGCCGTATTCCTGCAGGCAAGTCGCTGATCGTCCGGAACCACTCTTGTAGGATAGCTTCAACATACTTCCGATCAAACATCTGCTCAAGGAACACCACAGCAAATCAGTAAAAGTATCTGATAAATGATCATCAAGAGCTTGTTTAAGACCCAAAACCCTTCGCACACGGCCAGCTTCTATACACCACAAGGCACAACGACGCACCTCAGGAACTGCTAGACGCCTTCCGAACAATCCCTTGTTGTCACCGTCATCATCGCCATCATCCTCACCAAAGTAGTCGTCATCATCACCATCATCGTCACCTCCGTCGCCACCCCCATTGAAGTTCTTATTACCAATTCCTCCGCCACCACCTCCGAGCTCCACCTACAACCAAAATCGTCATCAATTCCAAGCAAATAGCGAGCCAAGTGACTCCAAACCTAAAACCGTAGGTTAACCTTATCCAAAGGTTGAGGCTATCCACAAGGCAACACAATGAAGTTCGGACACCTCCAAACTTCAATTTGCCTCACGAACACGCCAAACCCTACCAAGCCAACAATAAATCACCGTTTTCGCCGAAAAAGAACCCCAACACAAGCGCTATACCTCCTGTTTAACCCTAGATGTCGACTGCGACAAGTCCAGCTTCGACTTCTCCAACGTCGCCCCACCCCCTCCAAACGCACCATACCCCTTCTTCATTTCCACGGCATGCGACCGAACAGAGATGTTCGGCACATCCTGGCTCACCGGCAAGCCTTCGATTCCCTCTTCCCCTCCGGGCCCACTAAAACCCCGCACGGCACCTCTGAACTCCACCACCCTCCGATCCCTCCTCACCGCCAACGCTACCTTGCACTGCAATTCAGAACCCCGCCTCAATTGCACAACACTCGACGAAATCCCCGTCTCATTCAATCCCTCCCTGCGCAGCGCGCTCGCAGCTGGCGTCACGAAGATCGCCTTGGGCGCCACCGACGCCATGGCAGCAGTCATCACCACAACAAAAGAAGCAAAAATACAAAATAAAAACTATCTAAACAAACTCGAGAGATGCTTTAAGCTATAGCGGGCCACGTTCCAGCTCCTCGTGGCTCGAAGGAGCTTGTAGCGCTCGCTCGGTCGCTCGCTGCAGCTGCAATCGTGAGCCACAACGACAACACGAAAGGGCCTTCATACATGCTAGGCCCGTCCTCTTCAAGGAGCCCCCTCTCCTCCCTCCTCGGCACCGGATCGGTTGAGGGGCTGGAATTGCTCTCCTGGATTATCGACGCGGCGAATTTCATTTAAAATTCCAAATAAAACTGGCCTGCCTGTGATTGGCTCTTTTACGAGAGGGTAAAATTCATGCAGATAGGGCGGGAGTCCACGTGTGGGTAGGGATAGTGATTGAGGATACGTAGGCCCCGCTACCTCCCGTGGTTGAGCCTTGTTTGCGGATGCGGATATCGTTATCCGGTGTCAGACCCTGGTTTTTTCGGGTATCCACCAGCTCTGCGCCTGAGGTCCGTGTCTGTTCTGCCTGGTTTTCGGACCCATGCGGGTATGAGGATTGGATACGACGCTCCGTTGGGAGCGTTCTAACGAAAGCTGTTGTTGCGGATGAAGTAGTAGAAGTCGTTGTTGTGGATGAACTAACAGAAGCTGTTGTTTCTGGCCATTCACATCAATGAATTGTCATATCAGGGGTTGATTGATAAGGTGTGGAATTGAAGAACATTGAAGTCATCAAAGAAAAAAAAATAGTTGTGTAATCTTTATTGAATTGTGCACATCTTTGATGATTAAAAACTTATATAAAGACTAAAGTGATTTTCGTTAAGCATGAAATCATTTTAAATTTTATTTATTTAATAATTAATTAACTAATTAAAGATTGGAACACAAAAAAGGTGTTGATAAGAGTAAAGATGGCATCATTCTTGTTCCTATATATAATAACTATTAAGAAGGCCACATGATTGTTAAGACAAGTAGCTAATATGTGCCAATATACTTCTTCCTTATTCTATTCACTTCTTTTTTACTTCTATTTACATAAGTAATAGACATATAAGTTACGCCATGAGTAAAATATAAAAAAATATTGATAAAATTAAAGATATATTCAATCTTACATGAATGTATATTAACTATCAATAAGATCTTGTCAAAGCTTTTTAGAGATTGCAAGACTTGTTATTAAAGACAAGAACTTGATAAAAGCAAATAAATAAGTGAGATATTTCTTCAAAAAAAAAGACAAAAAAAAAAAAGAAGTAAATATGTATATTCAAAAAGAAACTGGAATAGCTTATTCTAACTCACAATAAGTGAATTAACTTAAATTCATTTAAGTTTATTCTAACTCACAATAAGTGAATTAACTATATGAATTTAACATAAAGCTATTATTTAAATTCTAATCCACTTATTACTTGTCCTTCTTAAAACACCAAGTTATTAATCAAATCCTCTAACATTACTCACATTCACAATGATAATTCACCCCTTAACTTCATGCAAAATAATTCCTTCTTCTACTTCTAATTAGATAATTTGATTCAATTTTTAATTTAATTTAATTTAATTTATAATTATAATAATTATTATTATTTTACTAGGTATTTTTTATTAATTTTTATTATTTTATTATTTTATCATTTTTTAAAAAATATATAATTTTTTACTTCATAATTAATTGATGGTAAAAGTAATTAATTAAGTTATTATCCTTAATTCATAGTAACTATAAATTTTTTTAAGGTTGAGTTAAAAATTAAAAGTTAAAAGTTAAAAGTAAAGTTCAAAAGTAAAAGTAAAGTAAAAAGAAAAATAAAGTAAAGGTTAAAAAATTAAAAATATAAAAAGAAAAAGGGAGAAGATTAAAAGTTAAAAATTAAAGCCAAAAGTGAATGCAGAAGTTACAAGTTACTGAAAAAATAACATAAAATAAAATAAAAGAAAAAAATAAATAAAGAGAGATACAAGCGGAAGTACTTTGACAACGTCCAAGGATTGAGGGAAGCACCTCCTTTACTCCAAAATTTGCCAAAAATCCAAATTAGCTCTAAATATAATGATTTTTGTTTTTTTGGAAATTTAACTTCAAGGCGCTTTCGCTCCAAAATGTTCGTGGCAATATAGTGCCTGAGCTGTGAGCAATGCTTCTTCAAAGTTGGATCATTGGACCTGCCACTGCAGCCGACCCCCCTTCACTCAAAATTTTGTTAAAAATTCACAATTGCTTCAAATTTAATGCAATTTATGCCAATGGAAGCTCAGCTTGAAATTTCTTGTAATCTCGAAATTTCAAAATGATCCCATTAATTGGCATTGATGAATGCCTTTTCAAAGTTGGATTATTGAAACTGCCAAGGTGGCTTCCCCCTTACACTCAAAAATTCACCAAAATTTCGGTTCAACTCCAAATTGAGAAGACCTTAGCTCTTTGGAAAGCTCTTTGGAAAGATAATAAAAAGGGCTATGAAGTGAAAATAATTTCACTTACGAATCATAAAAAACCGTAAATTGATTGGAAAAAATCCGAGGCCCCTCAAACCCTTTTGACTATGGAAATGATTAGTGACCACTAATTACAAAGGGGCACCTTTTAAACCACAAAAAGTACCACCTACGATACAAAATCAATGCTCATATATTCTTAAAGTTCACAATGAGATCTAAGATCAAGAAAGAAGCAAAAAATTAAGATTAGGATTAGGGTTGAGACCACACTTTGGCATAGCTTTACTCTCATCGAAAAGGTAAGAGAGAGAGAGAGAGAGAGAGAGAGACTTGGAAAACCAAACCACTCTTATACAATTGAGTGGTGGCTTGTGGAAGGGCGGCCACATGTCCACCCTTGACCTTTAAGATCCCTAATGTAGATCTATGGCCTTCCTTCATTCAAGAGCTAATTTCGTGACCAAGGGTGATGGCTCTTTAAGATCCCTAATGTAGATCTATGGCCTTCCTTCATTCAAGAGCTAATTTCGTGACCAAGGGTGATGACTCTTGTAAGTGGAAAAAAAAACGCTTTTTGATAAATCTAACTTAATCTTGTATTTAAAACATCTTTTTATGCTAAGATTGACTACTCACATGCATCAATCTATGCTCCTTTGCAACTTTATGAAGTTTTTTTTACTTACAAGGATTTAGGTAATATTTGTAAAATTCTTCAAAAAATGAGAATTTCATTTCTCTACTTGTATTTTAAAGGAAAGGGTGCTAATCTTGTTTTCTTAGCTCTACGTGGTACATTTGATGCCTCTATTGCATTTGAAGTCTCCATAAATTTGAAGAATCACTTTGCCACTTGGATTTGTTGAATTTGGAAAAAATCTTCAAACCCATCATAATTAAACTTCACTAGATTTTTTTTTTCTCATTTTTTTTTTTTTTTTTTTTTTTTTTTTTTAATACCAAGACTACTTTCTTGTAATACCTCTACTATTAGCTAACTAGAAAAATATAGTCTTTATAGTTTCTTCTTACTAAACTCTATCTTAGATTGCATGTCCGCTATTAACAATCTATTTTCTATTTTATCGTGAAATTCTAAAATTAATTCATAAAATTTATATTTTAAGCACAATAAGTGTATTTTTTTATACTAAATATTAAAGTGAGTCAATTCAATGGCTCACACTATTGCCAAAAAATCAAGAAAACTAAAGATCCTTGAAATTAGACTAAAAGTAAGAAAGAAGTTGACAAAAGTGAAAAATGCCGCATATTAGATATTATCAAATTTATCTATATTTATATATATATTTTTACCTACTTATATTATCTAGATAATTACTGGAATAAATATGGATGTTTGTGATACTTGCTGTCTAAACATTAAGGTATAGGTTGCTTCAAATGTAAGTTTATAAAAGTAAAAAAACTTATAGAAAAAATTATAATAGCCATAAGACTATTTATTAAAATCTAAAATTCTTAATTTGCATCTAAGATACTTTCTTGAAAATTCTTTAAGAAGATCTTATCTTCACAACATGTTTCTACATACTTATTAAGAACAAGAACTCAAACAATAAAAATAAATAAGTTAGATATTTTTCAGAAAAAGATGATAAAAAAAATATATAAATTCAAGTAAAAATTAGAATGAGTATTGCCAAAGAATAAGAAACTAAAAATTCTTTAAACTAGAATACAAGATTTTTTTTTTGCAAGAGTAATATATTTTTTTTCTTATCTCCATATATATTATTTAATTGGAAGTTATATTCTATAGAACTTCTATCATGTGTCTAATTTGCAAGTCAAGTTTCTTACATATACTTCATGTGAAAAACTTGTATCAAAAATTATCAAAATATGCAATATATGGCCAAATTTTTGGCCATATTTTCAACCTATCAATGACCTACAATTACCTAAAAAGTCAAATCCACATCAATGAAGTTTTTAAGAAGCTACTCCATAAGATGCTATTAAATAAATTTATTTTAATTTATTTCTATCTAATTCTTTTAATCTAAGTAAGTATATATATATATATATATATATATATATATGATAATACGTTCTTTTGTAGAAATAAGTTCTATAAAGAACAATGATGACATATTCAAGAAATTTGAGATATAACAAATTATATTTGCTACATATTTTAAATTTTTATTTTCTTTAAAAATAGTTGATAGGTCATTTCAATTATTTATAGTTCTTTATATTAGGATTAAAAGACTATCATCTTATTTAATTATTTTTGAAGCCTTTATTCCTTCTTATAAATAAAGTATTTTAAAAATCATTAGAGATTGTTTCTATCTTTAATAATATCACTGAATATTTGGAATCTCTTTTAAGGTTATGATATCAAATTTGATGTATCTCACCATCTCTTCAAAAAAAAACATGTCAATTTTAAGATTCTATATTTCTATTATATTATCTAACAAGTTGTGATAATTTCAATTCTTTGTCAAATAACTCATGAAACCATAATCCATGAGTTGAAACTGTTGATTTTTTATTCTTAATCTCTTTAATACTACAATTATGCAAAAACCACAAACAAAATAGAAGATAGAATGAAATCTTCATTGAACCTTGTTTCTTTTATGACATAAAATGATTTGATTTTTTTTTTAGTTTTAATAAATATTGTCAATAAAATGTATCAACCTTTATTGTTGCATTTATAAGATTTTGGATTGACTTCCATGTATGCTCATTAATATCATATTTGTACAAATATATAAGATATTCCAATCCATTTTGGCTCTACATTAGTTT